ACTAGCATTTATTATAAAGGCTTATACGAAAGTGAGCAGGTATGCTCTGTCCATACTAGGAATTGGAGTATACTGGAGTATACTCAACACAGATATTAAAAGCTTCCTCAAGAAGAGTTAGAACTCCATAAAACCGTAGGAAACCCTGCTGTGTCTTGGCATAAGAGGTAACCTACAGCTCCATCTAGGAGTGATGACGCATCAGGACAGCAAAGAGTATAATGCTGTGCTGAACCAGCACACTGCAAATTAAGGTCTGTTTTTGACACAGGAGATATACTTAGGAGAGGGAAAACCTGGGTTATGCAATGAAATGAATGAAATGAATGAAATACCTCCCTTACTGGGCAGGCTGCTGGGGCTCCAGGTAAAGTCAGTCTTTCCTGTGTGGAAATTCTTGAAATCTTACACAGTGGCATGATCCTTAGGAGTGCTATGGACTGAAAACAATCTAACAACTCGAGTAAAATGTACGTTAGTTAAACATAATAGAGGCTCAGTGATCTGGCTTGCTGGTGGATTGAGGAATGGAGGTACAAAAAAGGGTCCTTTCACCAAAAAAGCAGATTGAAACTGCAGAACATGAGCTGTTAGTATTTTTAAGAGAAGGTCCAGCCTTTTGCTGTGGGTGTAACAGTCATACTTGAAGATTCAGAAAGTTTTGAAAGACGGTATGATTACTCTGGAAATGTTCTCCTTTTGTTCCCATATTTGTGACTGGACTTGAGGATATAGAAATGGATGATGTTTCTGACTTCCCTTCCTTCTCTTCCTCCCTGCCCATGTACACAAGTGGAATGAGCTAACGTTGCTGTCTGTTGCAGTTTAGCCAAATTCAGCTAACACGCCTCATATTGCAGGCAGTGGTGAGGGGCCTGTGACGGGCATTGCTTTGAGTTACTGAGCTGCCACTTGAGCCTTGCTACCAACTTGTGCACATTCTCTCTCTTACTCTGCCCCAGCTGTCAAACAAAGAGTATTGGTTCAAGCACCCTTTGTGGGTATGAGAAACGAAGCTGCATTAAATTATGTGAAAATGGTTAGAGACTTCATATTAAAGGTGGAGGGACTAGATATGAAGTCTGCTAGTAACATGTACAAAATCAGGCTGGAAACAGATTATTCCTACTGTAATTTTACATTTTGAGCCTCAGAAAGATCAGCAGTTATGCTATTCCAGGAAACAAAAGGAAAAGTCTCCCTGAAGTGACTAATCCATCAAGACATCTTCTTGCAAAGCAGTGTCTCCCACAGGAGCTGTCTCTGGCCCTGTGACCACCTAAGCTTTTGGGGGCCTTTGAGCACTTTGTCACAGCAGAAACTTGTGTCTTTTTGGTTGAATATGAGAGATGATTTCCTCATTTTGGGAGTTACTTCATTGATTTTCAGGATTATCTTGCCCTAAAGTCCTGGTTTCAACTGAGATAGAGTTAATTTTCTTTCTAGTGGCTGCTATGGTCAGATTTGGTATAGAAGGAATGTCAATAATGCATGTTGTTTTAGTTGTTTTGGGTTGATATTTACAGTGTTCAAGGACTCTTTTTCAGCTTCCCATAGGAGCTGAGAAGGAGCATAGACAGGACAATGGAATGGCCAATGGAATATTCCACAGCATAGATGTCATGCTTAGTCTATAAATGGAGGTTTGCAGGAGGCGGAATCACTGTTCAGGTTGGGCTGGGTAACCAATTCATAGGATGGTGAGAGTGACCTGTATCTTACTGTCTCCCACAGGAGCTGTCTCTGGCCCTGTGACCACCTAAGCTTTTGGGGGCCTTTGAGCACTTTGTCACAGCAGAAACTTGTGTCTTTTTGGTTGAATATGAGAGATGATTTCCTCATTTTGGGAGTTACTTCATTGATTTTCAGGATTATCTTGCCCTAAAGTCCTGGTTTCAACTGAGATAGAGTTAATTTTCTTTCTAGTGGCTGCTATGGTCAGATTTGGTATAGAAGGAATGTCAATAATGCATGTTGTTTTAGTTGTTTTGGGTTGATATTTACAGTGTTCAAGGACTCTTTTTCAGCTTCCCATAGGAGCTGAGAAGGAGCATAGACAGGACAATGGAATGGCCAATGGAATATTCCACAGCATAGATGTCATGCTTAGTCTATAAATGGAGGTTTGCAGGAGGCGGAATCACTGTTCAGGTTGGGCTGGGTAACCAATTCATAGGATGGTGAGAGTGACCTGTATCTTACATATTCTTTTACCATTATTATTATTATTATTATTATTATTATTATTTTCTTTTTTCTTTATTATTAACAGTTATTATTAAACTGTCTTCATCTCAACACACGAGTTTGGTTTTTTTCCCTCTCCCCTCCTTTTCTTCCTCTTCTCCCTGCCCTTCTGGGAGTAAGCAAGTGGCTGCATGGTCCTATTTGCTGTCTAGGGTTAAACCACAACAGCCATGCATTCACTTTGCCAGATGGAGGAGGAATGAAATCTTCTTGAGAAGCTGAAGCTTCTGATCTGAAATGTTCTAGTGCTCACTGGTGACAGTGGGTAGCCTTTTCTTTTGAGCCTCCCCATTTTCAGTATCTGTTGACTTGACTCTCATCTTCATTCATCCTGCCTTCTGTAAAAGAAAAGCTCTGGGGAAAGTTTGGGGAGTTTGGAAACTGTGGCAACAGAGTCTGTGGCTGACTTGCTGGTGGAGCTGCTGATAGGAGAGTTTATTCATTAGAAAACAAAGGGTTCCCATGTGCTGTAATATCTCACAAATATTATCTTATTGACATATGGGCATTAGGTTGCCTCCCAGGTGGTATGAAAATATTTGTCCAAGATGTATTCAGTAATTCCTGAGGTTAATCTTCCAAGAACTAGGTAATTACAGGAAAGTGTTGTCTTGTGTACCTTATCAAGAGACTGGTAATACAATGAAGTAAAATTTATCTATGGTGAAACTATATTTAATGATTTCTTGGCCTCACTAGGTAAAACTTGTCAATTACTTGTTGTTGATTGTCATTCTGTCTATTTCCCTGTACGTATCTATAGGTGCAGAGGAGCAAATTCTCAAACTATTCTCTGAGATTTTTGATTTCCTCAGCAGTTTCTTAGTGTGTGCTGGTGCCCCAGCAGTTTCAAAATCTCAAACTGAGTAGTCTGCTATTTGAATCTATCTTAAAATTTATTAGTGTTGGTACCTAGTATTAACAGAATTAAGCTGTTGGCAGGCTGCTATAATCCTTATGCAGGTATTTCTCATTTACAACTTCATGTGAGAGGAATCCACAGCTAATTAGCTGTTGTAGGTTATTTTGGTAGTTGAGAAGTCAATATTCTCAAGTGTGTACAGTACAGGACAGGAAATTATTCTAGCAAGATAAAGAATAAATTGCAAATCCCTTTCCACAAATAAATTTATTTGTGCTGATCACTCTTTTGATCTTTCATGGCAAAAAGGTGATTCCATGCTGTCTTGTTTTTGTTAGAAGCACCAGATTGCCTGTAACCATTTTTGTAGTATTGCATTAATGCAGTAACTGTTGCATTAATTCTGCAACTCTAACAGGAGTAGATCAGCTGTAATGCTCATACTTGTAGAGGCTTGAAATCACTGAAAATCAGTTGTGGTAAGATATATACTTGAGAAGACATGTCTTTCAATTACAAGATCCTGACAGCAGAAGTTTCCACTTAATAGATAGCATCTCACCCTGGTGTACACTCTTGATAAATAAGACTGCAAGTCCTGCAAACACCCTGCAGCACCCATGTACCATTGTGGTAGCAATAGCCCCTACACGTACGTATCACAAACATGCAGTTAGATCAACATGCCTAGCAAACAGTGAGTTTCATTGTGTTATTTACATGTACACACTTAGGCATGTGGTTTTTATCACTTTATATTTCCATTAGAAGGAAATGGTTTAGAGGTATTCTGTGGTAAAAGGCAGGATGGCTGTGGTCTAACTGTCCTCAGCTTATCGCCCGTTCTCATCACAGCCCACCTCCTCTGAACCAGTTGCGACTGGTTCAGTTTACAGGGTTTTTCCACTAAAAAACCAAAGCTTCCTGACCCAGCACACAGAAGCCTTAAAAATCTACTTGCCCTCTTATTCAGGCTAAATAAATAAAAATTAAAAACTTAGTATGAACCGTGTATGTCTGTATAAATAAACTTCAGGGACATGCGAGCTGTTGCAGATGTAAAACCTGCAACCACGTACTTGAGAAACCCCAGAAATGGTGAGGTGATAGCTATGCTTAGAATGGCTTAGGGTTGCATGTAAGCAGGGGGTTTTGTGCAAAAAGCTTAAAAAGCTGTGTTTTCTCTGGTTTTCCAGATCTTGCAAAATCTTTCAGTTTTGTGTATGAGACACAACAAATGAATCTGGGGATCATTTTAGTGAAAGAGATCTTGGTTCTTTAATGCAATTAAGGATTTTTCTAGCAGGAATAAAGGTAGGGGAGACCAGGACAGTAATATCGGTGATGCTGCTGAAATCTGCAGTAACTGCATTCCAAAAATACCTTTGTAGCTATTTTATTTCACTTTGATTGGAATCGAGGCTTAAGAAATGATAGCATGGGATATCAGCTGTTTCTAAAAGAGAGTTTGATTAAAGACTAGACATCATATCTTTCTTTACATTGAAGAGTAATATGGCATTAAAGCGGTAATTAGTTGCATTGGCTTCAAAATGCAGATGGTAAAAAAGCTTGTAAGAGATGTTGTTAGTAAAATAGCTGTTGATGTTAAAACTGAGCCTGGCTTATGTTGTCCTTCCCTTGTGATGGTGTGGGCACTGCATTTCCCCCTGGTTTGGCTTAGCTCTTCAACAGAAAAGGTGTAACGAGCTAGCTTTTATTGTTCTGTGTAAAAGTCTTCCTGTGTAATACATTGAAAAGGAGGAAACTGATGTTTTTAAGGATCTTTGATTTCCTGAGGAATTTTTGCAAACAGAGAAATGAATCAGGTTTTCTAGCCGTCATGGTACATGCTGTAGAAATGCTGGTGAACAAACCCAGCCCTCACAAATGCACCTGGAGGATAGCTTTTATTGCCTTCTACATCATTATAGATACAGTGAGAATTGCTTTTATGCTTGTCTAACTTCATTCAACAATACTATGTTCACTTTTTAAAATTGCGTTTGACTCTTAAAGCACACATAATTTCAAAATATTTAAGTCATGATTTGGTGGATATGTGAGACTGCAATAAATCATTCATAGTAAAAATGAACAAATACCCGTGAATTTACAGCACAGGAATGCTCCTAATTAAGCCTTAAGCGCAATGACAAAATGCATCTGTGGTTAATATGTCAAAAGCCTTGTTACACCTCTAAACTTCTGCATTAATAACTACTTTTAACATGTGTACCTTCCTCATTGTGCAGTATGGACTTTGGATTAAAATCTAAGGTATCTAACCTTACTTCTATTGCCTACCTCAGTTCAATACTCAGAAAAAATAGGAAAACACCAGCAGTAGGGCAAAACAAGCCTTATGCACTGATACCAGAACATTATTTTGGGGATCTTTTTTGTTGTTGTTCCATACAACACTGAGAGCAGGGGAATCTATATGGATAAGTATATAGCAAAGCAAATTGAAGACAATGTTGTCTTTCCTAAACCAGCATTTACGCTTTCTTTCCTCGGTGCTTCGTTGTAGCCCATGCTCTGTAGATGAAGAAGAGTACAATGAGGTAGTACATGGAGCTCTTCAGAAGAAGGACGATGTACACTAAATACGCTGTCCTGTGATACAAGGGATCTGTTACAAACATAAGACAGAGAAGTCTTGTTTAATGTCAATATTGTACAACCTCCTAAAAGACAGGTAGAACTGGCACTGTATAGTCTATTACTGCTACAATTACACTGATTCCAGTGGACAGTGTATAAACACAGACAATGCCTGAGCGTCCTTTGAGTGGGCTTGCACTGCTAGTAAGCTCTAGACCAAGCAGGTTTCTTAGCCCTGGACTGCCTCTCAGACAATGCTGCTGGGTTATTATTCCCTGCAAAGGCAAGAACATAATTGTAGTGCTGCCAGCACTGGTTACCAGTAGCACCGTGTTTGCTTGAATCCCTATGTGGTGATTCTTCCCAAATCCTCATTCAAGCTAAAAGAAAATTTATTTGTCCGAAGTGCTGGGAAATTGCTAGGCTGATGGAGCATGAGCTGAAGCATTGAGCATTTAATTACTTCAGGTATTTAAAGAAGTGGCACTTAATATGGGCTAATCATCTAGTAGCCTGAACAGTATCCGTGGCTTCCTATTAAAGATACCCAATAAAGGTAGGAGAGCCCCTTAAAATCTGCAACAGAAGTTAATTCAGAGTAGCACTCTGTGTTTTTAAGTTGCAGGCTCCAGAGTTAAAACATTTCCTGGATGCTATTTAGAAAGGTCATTTTCATGATGTTCTGAGCATACATAGAAATATCTAACTCTCACGTGACATGCATCGCTTTCCCACATTTTAATACATTTTAATTACCTCTACTGAAAACAACTGTGCTGTTTCCAGGGTATGTGCTGCAGTCCTCTTCCTGAGAAACAGTCTTTGAAGAATCTAATGGAAACAGAGTTTAAATGCCCAAATTAGGCTTTTATTTAATTTTAACAAACATGAATTGAGAAATAGGGGGAAAAAAGGGGCAGCAGAGCAACAGTGAAATGGGAAATTAGTATTGAACAACAAAATAAGCATGTTTAAGATCTGTCTGCAGAGCAGATGTTCACAAGTAGGCTTCATTTGCAGGGAGCAATTGAAGGGGGAAAATGCTTTATAGAAGTGACTGGATGTTTGTTGCCGTAAGTGGGATGCTTGCCTTTGCCCTTTCAGGAAAGTGTCCATGGGGCTTTTCCTTAGCAGAATCTCTTTTATTTGGAACTGCAGTCAATTTGACTACCTGGCCTTGTCACTGAAGTAGCTGCAGTCTGTTTCCCTTCACAAGGTACTGTTATTAGAAACGCAGAATAATTTACATCAGAATGGACTTCCATCTGCTACTTAATGGTTGCTCAACACAAAGAATAATATTGAAGAGAATATGTTCTAAGGTTCCCCTAATGAGAATTTGCTATTTTGGTGAAGGCTGGTCTCTAAAATAAAACCTTTCTGTGCTTGAAGCAGGAAATTTGTGTTTGTTCTTTCTTAGGGTGTTTGTATGCATTGATATGTGGGCTTAAACATATCTGTATTGCATCCCTAAATACATCCTCCACTTAAATAAATTTGAAGCATGGTTTTGTCAAAATATATTTTGAAGGTTGAAATGTAGTGGTTATGTACAGCCATGCTCTCACTCATTGGAGTTCCGTTAATTTATATAAGTTGAACAGATGTGGGTACTGAGAAAATATTAATTAAAACCAATATATGCAGATTTTCCTAAAGATATTATCACAGTTTAAACAATTTGCATTGATTGTAGGTTAACTTTTTTCTTTAAAATTGCATTGTCTTTCAGATCTTACTTTGCATAATCAATCTTTCCACAATTAGGTAAGGTATCTTTTTTTCATACATGGTTATTTCCTCGCTATTGCTGGACTATGAGTAAGTAATATATTTAAACTTTGCTCTACATCCCCGACAATGTTGTTTTTAACTCCCTAGTTTTTTTAACTCCTTAGTCCCCTATGACTAATATCAGGGAGTGTCAGAGGGACTTAAGCCATGGGTAACAGAGAGATAATACTGTTTTCAGAAACTTCTGTTTACTAGAAGGTAACATGGCTCAATGTAGACCTTTCAGCTATGCTACTTTACAGCTGATGAGATTCAAGAACTACTTTTTTTCCTATTACAAAGCAACGCCACTTCAGGAGCATAGCACAGGCTGGGTTGCTTTTCCTGGGAAAACTTTGGTAGTTTCTTCAGATGTGTATTTTAGCTATTGTTGTGCCAAGGGGCACAGATGCTTTCAGGAACAGTAAGAGAAAGCATTATTTCTGTAATTTTATTGCAAAGAAGAAGTGATGTCTATAATAATAAGTAGAATGAACATGTAGTATATACCTTGTTTTGGTACTCTGTCGTTTCCGCTTTCATGCTCGTAATTGCAATAATAGTTCTTGTTTTTCGTCTCTGCGTCTTTCTTTACAGTTAACCAGCTGCTGATTGAGTAGTTATCCTCTTTTGTGGGCTTCCAGGCGTCTCCTTTTACTATGCCGTTTTCTACTATTTTGCCTGCTTCATCGGTCCATGTCACCCGAATAACATCTGGGTAGAATTTCTCAATAAGGCAAACATACATTATCTGATTTTTATGTTCCTTCTGCAGGATTTCAAAGTTTGCCGGTCCAGACTGTTGTTTGTCTGGTTATTGGGGGAAAAAAAATTAACAAAATAGAGAGTTGGAAGATCAGTAGTATACAGCAAATAAATACGCAGCCACAAAATACAAATTCTGAAGAGCAGCAAGCTAGATGTCTTACCAACAAACGTTTCAGCTCTCTAATTTGTTATGAAATACTTAGGATGGGAATAGAAATGCCTCATATATGAAAGGAATTCTAGGTAACAGGATGGATTTTTCCATCCTTGAAGTAAATTTCCATCCTTGAAGTAAAAAAAAAAGGTTTTGGCGAGCTGGACTAACCTGGCATTCAAATACACTTTATATTAAATATTATTTCAATAGATCCAAATGGCAAGTTTTAATTTTCAGTCAAAACCATTTACAATACTATTTATAAATGGAAATAGAAAATATTACTTTTAACCTTAGTTTTATGTGTGTTGTGTTACAGAGAACTAAAATGGATAGAGACTTTTCTGAGTATGGTATAGAAAATCAAGCTTAAAATCAGAATACAAGAAAATTAAAATACTACTGATTCTATGATTCTAAATTCATTTTTGTTTAGACAATATAGAGTCTTCCAGAATCCAGAGAATGTTTGATCTAAGCTTTGATACTGTGCCATGTGCATGAAGAAATATTATTTAAGTCCTAAATTATTTAGAGTACACTAACATCTAGACTGCTTCATTCATACTTGTTGTCAAGCAGCACATCTGATAAAGACAAGAGTAGACTAGATCTGCTCTTTAATACTTTAATACTAGAGTAGGTTAAAAATATCTAACAAAATATTTCTTGAGTGTTTTATTAGAAAAATAAATTTAAGTTTAGAAACCTACTCAAAAATGTTTGAAAAATTATTTTTGAGAAACATTCAGAAACTGAAATATTGTTGAAGATATTAATAATCTTCCTTGAAATGGAGTTAGAAAACTTCAGGCAACTACGTGCAATCCTATATTCCACAGCCTTCAGAGCAGCACTGCTGTCAGAAAGTGTATTTGTCTGCAGAAGTCTTTGACAATTATTAAATTGTAGTAATAGTTCCTGAAAGAGCTTTGTTCATTCTTTTGATAAGAGAAATTTAATATTGCTTTATAATGTTTATGCAAAAACAACTACATGAAAATTTTGTCTACAGAATGTTAAAGGTAGACCATCTATCTTTCAAATCTTTGAAGTTTTATGTCCCCAGTATAAGTCCCCACTGCTAATTAATGAACACCTGCTATATCTTTTTTTTTTTTTTTTCTAAAGCAGGTATTAGATTTGTGATATTTGGGGGGGAAAAACAGGCAACAAAAATTTATTTTTGCCATTTTTTGGTAGCCATCTCTGGATTAAGTCGTATGTTATTAGGAGGAGACCAAATCATCCCGATTTTGTCCACACAAAGACATTTTGATATTATAAAAGTGGAAAGTAAATTTAAGAGTCTGTTTTAGTTAAATGTGAGTTTCTGCTGTGCTCATGGGAAATCATTCTTGTTGATGCTTAACTGCAAGCGAAGACTAGATACAGTTTTCAAAATTTACTTTTAATATATAAAAGGTAAAGCTTAAGACTTTTTTTTTTAAGGCAGCAGAAAGATTTTAGATGTCCATCTCCTTACACCTCTCTTTCTCTTTAAATTCCTAGGTAAATCCCTGCCACTGGATTTGAACAGTTAGATCCACAAGGTTTAAAGTGTGGTCTGGCTGAGTGGTGCAGTTTTCAAGCATTATGAGAAAACACATTAATATAAATGTGTATTTTTGTCAAAAAGCTTACACCTTTCTTTAAATGATCTGGCTATTCTAGAGCAATCCTCTACATTGCATCCCCCCTAAACCTAGTGATTCTTTTAAGTATTTGATACTCAGTGTTTGAAAGCAAAGATGATCAAACCATAAGGCTGTCTGCCTTCAAAAAGATAACCCTTATACTATCAATTTCCTTCATTTTGGAGATTGGTCATTAAAATGAAGATGTTAACTGAGTTCCATTGTACCAGAAATAAAATTGCTATTTTATGGATCTCTAACAGTAATTAAGGTGTTAATTTTTTCTTCTTTATGCATCAATCCTCCCAGGGATGCAAGATTAAACTAATTTCTAAAATGATTTATTTTTTTCATAGTTGTTCATGTTAAGAAGACCAAGATGTATCTCCTGTACCAGTGACATTGCAGTCCGCAAATCCTATTTTAAATGTTTCTTTTAGTTTTTCAAAGCTTAATAAATTGCCCCGACTAATTTCAGTAGGCTAAAATTTGCCTAGTTTTATGTCATTCTCTTGGATTATCAAATCTAAATAGAGAGGCAGAGACTGATAGTTCCAGCTGCTAGTTCATCCTGCCCATTTTAGAGACTTCTATTAAGATGGAATAATTTCTACCTCTGGAATTGCCCATGTCTCTCCATTTACCATAAAAATACCCTTTAAGCTAAATGCCTAAGTCATATTAGAGTACTGAGAAAACATATTGCTTGAATAACTGCAACTGTGCATGCATGGGGGAGTGTCACATATACAAATAGGTAAATGCATGACAGTGGAGAAATTTTGCATATAAGCATGTGTGTAGATGTTTGTGTGTGGAAAAAAATAAAATAATTTAAAAAACCCAAACCTGTAAGTATGCCTGTGGAAAAAAAGGATGAAAACTTGTAGAATTGGCTGGAAAATTTGATGTATTTTCAGGCAGATCTGTAAAGTCCTTGAAGTCAATGAGACAGTTTACACTGGCTTTTCTGGGCAAATGATCTGATCCATTATGAAGAAGGTTAAAGTGATGAACTCATGAACACTCCACTGTCTATTTGGGTTTTGGTTAAACTTCAAAAAATTTTCTGTTTACTTTGTTAAACAGTTTTCTAAGGCAGGTTTTAAGAGGTACACAGGACTTACTTTTTAAAATAATATAAAAGCATATGCAGATATTCCTAAAGCTAAAAGCTGTCTTTTCTCTCTTGTAATAATTCAGTGAGACTGAAAAACATTGTGCAAATGAAATTGTGGAGTTAGGCTTGAAATTAATGAGCTATTAATGAATGTGGGTTCAAAATGTTTTTATAGATCAACTGTCAAAAGTTGTCTTAATGAAATTCCTCTACAGATTCTTTATACATATCTATAAACAAGGTTTCTAAATAAGGTCAATCTGTTCTTAAGCTGAAATTTTTATTCCCATTACTTGGATTACCCCACAAAATGGAGTAATTTTGTCTGAAACTCAAAGCTCAGTTCCCCTTCAAGCCAGGGGGACCTGAGAGCACTCAGCTCATAAGCAGTGTTCTTGTCCTGCTTGCCAGCGACTTCAGGTATTATCACTAATAACACAGTGTAGTCCTGACCTCCAGATACTTTAAAGAGCAGTCAACATTTACTCCAAAGCTTTTCCATTACAAAACTTAAAAAACTGAGTCTTTGAAAACAGTTACTGGAGACGATAAGTTGTACACTTAATGTACACTGGTCCACTCCCTTACAGAAACTGCTTGGGACATTTTGGCCAGATAAGGACCATATTTAATAACCATCATATGAACAGTAAGAGTGTATTCATTTGGCTACATGCATGTAGACAATTTGAATTCAATCTCAGGTAATGCTGCTGTTCCCTTTAGTGATATGTACTAAATTCAGTTTCAAGCTAATCTTTGCCATCACTTGTTTAAAAAAAAACATCAAACCAAAGCAAAACTACTGTTCTCTAGGGCGTTTATTTTCTTTCTGGAAAAATTCTTTATTTTTCCAGGATGTTGAGTGTTTTTGACATGATTCAAAAATACACACATGCTAGACTACTGTTAAACGGAATTAATGAAAGTCGGTCCTGAACTGTAAAGTCCACGTCACTTTTCTGTACTATACTTGAAAATCTATATTTTCATCTGTGTTGTAATTTCAAAATTAGCATATCACATTCCCTCTGCTCTAGATTTTGGATTATCAGAGCAAGACATATTTTCTGATACTAAAAGACTTACCAGAAACAATAAGGTTGGTGCCTGTTCCAAAGACCTTGTAATAGTCACTGTATACAAGTGCTTTGCAAAAACCAACCTAGTCTCAATGTTTTCAAAACCTCATTTTGCAACCAAGTTTAGCTTCATTTTCTTATTAGAAATTACGTGTTTCTTTTCACTCTCTGATTTCTATAATTAAAACTTTCCATACAAAATGGTGTATGGATGAACCTGTGTTTGCTCATACAACAGATTTCATTTATGTTAATTGTTCAGGTTTAAATAAATAAGCTTGCATGTACAGAAAAGCTAAGGATTTGGAATACTGATAAAATGGAGGATGGAGCTCTAACATAATAGTGAGCATTCAAAATCACAGAAATATTTAAGCAGATTCTGCACACCTGAGATTTGTAATTTTCTAGACTGACTCCTTCAGCATTCCCTGAGGTTTCTATTGAAAACGTGAGGAACAGTAAATATTATCACCTTAACAACATGGGAAATAATGCATTTTTATATATGTGCATGTATGTGTATGAATATATATATCCTACAATAAGAACCTCGCGCTGCATGCTCTCACCAATTCAAGCTGATCTTTTTAGGTCATGGCTTTAGGATAACACAGACCATTATGAACAGGAGTGTTCACACTGAAACCTGTTTGTGAACATTGCCTTAAAAGAAGTGGATACTGAATTCATCTTCGTGCCCATGAAATCCTTGATATTTCAAGCCATTAGCAAATGTTCCTATTAATAATAATCATGGTAAGAGGCTTTCACTCTGCAGATTTCTTTTAAGCAGACGCATCTTCCCTTATTTTTGTCTTACAGCCCCATCCTTCTGCCCTAATGCTCATTTGGACTTTCAGGTCTACTGGGTTTTGATTCAGGTCTTCATGCTTTTCCCTATTAAAAAAAATACTAATGGAAACTGATGCATACATTAATCTTCATCATTTTGATTTAAAAAGGCAGAAAGTCAGTTTAATCCAACTTCAGGTAGCATATGAGGGGAACTACTGGAGAGAGTCCAATGTAGGTCAACTAAGATGATTAAGGGATTGGAGCATCTCCTTTATGAGGAAAGACTCAAAGAGCTTGGGCTCTTTAGCCTGGAGAAGAGAAGGCTGAGGGGAGACCTTATTTGTGTTTACAAGTATTTAAAGGGTGGATTGAAGGAGGATGGAGCCGGATTCTTTTCAGTAGTTCCCAGTGGCAGGACAAGGGCCAATGGGCACAAGCTGGAACATGGGAAGTTCCACTCAATGTGAGGAAGACCTTCTTTGGGGTGAGGGTGGCAGAGCCCTGGCAGAGGCTGCCCAGGGAGGGTGTGGAGTCCCCTTCTCTGGAGATCTTCAAGCCCCGCCTGGATGCTCCTGAGTGATGTGCTCTGGGCAGCCCTGCTTTAGGAGGGCAGTTGGACTGGATGGTCCCTAGAGGTCCCTTCCAACTCCAACAATTCCGTGATAAGTAAATTGCCTATCTTTAGGCAATATATATATTATAATATATAATTGCAAAAAATAATTGTAGTTTTTTGAACTCTGAACTTTAATGCGTTTGATGAAAATATGGTAGATACTTCATTAATATTTAGGAGATAGCATTTAAAGAAATCAAGTATTGCTGCCATAATTTCTGCACTTAAATTATTTCCTAGAAATGTTAATAAATTGTTCTTTTCATCACTTCAAAATAAGCTAGCAGTATGCTTGTGAGTTGCCAGGGAGACCCAGCTGCAGCTGTAGCAGAAGAGATGCCACAGGAAAACCAGCCCCATGCTGCCTGACCAAACCACCCTGCTTCTGTGCTGAAGGGAAAAAATATTGATTTGGAGAGGCTGGTTCGGTCTCGGGTTCAGTCTCAGCTTCCCTGTTGTGACCTTGTGAGAGCCTAGATACTTGAAGAAGAATCCTGCATTGCCAGTTTATGTTGGATTAATATTCCTGTTCTGCTGTAAGCTTCTAAAAACTCATCTATTCCACCAAATATAAATGTCAAACCAGTCTCTTAACTCCCAGCCCTTGTGTTACTTACATTATCGTATGTCTCAAGCAACTTCCTTTTGGTCAAAGCTAATTGAAACAGACAAACAAGGACAAAATCAAGTTCATTACAAATTGATGGGAGTTTCTCTCTCTCTCTGACTGTCAGGATTGAGCTGGGAGAAGATTCTGCTCAAGCTTAATCCCTGATAATTCAATTGAATTAAGGTCACTTAGCCTAAATCCTAGTTTTCTCCATTTCTTTCCATTTGGAGTAAGTTACTGAGCTAATACTGAATAGTCCCCTCTGAAAAGACAAGCTGTGATGAAATGCCTGATCATAAGCATGAGGTAACTACAGCCCTTTTATTCTATTCATTGGTCAGAAGCCTTGGCCACACAAAGACAAAATTCTACAGAATTAGACTGATGCTGTAGATATGAAAAACATGGCAACTACCTGATTAACAAGGTAAGGGTCTTCACTAAAAACAACATGCTTATCCTGACATGGATATTTCTATTGAATTATAGTTATGATTTACTTAGACTTTCTGAAATAAATCATTAAAAACAATCACTGCTTGATATGTTAATATAAATTTGTATATGCTTGATATGTTAATATAAATTTGTATATTTAACCACGCTTAAAACATTTGGTAGCAATAGTTCCTGTGCCTTGTGTTTGTGTAGTTGTTTACTCCAGGATTATGGCATTTAAAGCACATGGGAAAATGGAGATTTTTATCCTCCACTTCCCAGTAAAATAAATCTCTGTGCAGGAGAGGCAAAAAAATTAATCACTTCTTCATATGCATGTTAATAAACAATAGGAAGAACATTTGGAAGTAATAATTTATTTCTACTGCCAAAGCACTGTGTATTGACAAAAACAATTAGGGACAAGTCATTTCACTTTTACTAGATAAATTAAAAACGGGGTTTTGGTGATGGTCATTGCATATTGCCCTTTTTTCTGTGTCGGGAAGAGATTTTCTTTTATTTTTAACGCTTATTTCACAGCTGCTCAGTTCCCTGCTTCTTCCTTCAGTACAGCTGGAGGAAAGAACGCAGCCTCTGGAAACTGCTACAGGCCATTTCCCACCACATTTCTAAGGAGGGGTATGATCAAAAGTGGCTCAAAATAGCTCCTTTTCAGAAATGTTTGGGATCCTAAACCACTGCATTACAAATACAACAAGGTTTACAGGAGGAACGACAAGCCGGGGAGGGGAGTCCTGTGCAAGGATGGTGCCTGCTGAGGCTCCAAGCAGCCTGAGTGCCCTCTGGGACACTGTGACACTCATCTATATTGCCACCCCAAGCTCACCCACCTCCTCTAGCTTATTGCATGGAAAATAGCATGTAACTTACCTGATACAATGAGTTTTGTACCGGAGCCAAACACCTTGTTGTAATAACCACTCACAGTGAATAAAGTCTTTGCAATAACAGTGCAGCTCTGGTCTCTTTATACGGGTAAATAAAAACCTTTTCTTAAAGAAAATCAGATTTGCTGTATAATCAAGTTTTAGACCCTTGAAAACTATAAAAGGAGCAGTCATCTAAACTAAAAAAAAACCAATAAAGGTGTGGAGGTCTTTGAGAGTATATGTGTTGTTAAATAGACCAGATACATGTCAACTGATTTTAGTCTTCTGAAAGTTTAGACGGACAGTGCAGACTGAGCACCTTGGCCCCCTTTGCTTTCTGGAGAAACTATTTGATCACATATTGGCCAAGCAATTTGTTCCTTACACACCCCCATTAAATCAGACCTAGAATTGTTGAACATTGTACTGACATCTGAACAGCACAAGATGCAAAGGTTTGACACTTTTCTTTCAGAATCAATTAGATTGCAAAGGTTGAATATGCATATTTAAAGACGAAGACATTGTTCAGTTCTCTGAATGCTATCTTTGCCATATTTAAATTCATCTTTAAGAAGAAAATAATAGGGGTTAGTTATACATCTGTGCTGCAATAGCTATTGTTTTTCCTCTATTTCATACATAAATACAAAACAATTATGTTGTGTTCTGCATATGAAAATCCTGTTTAAGAGGAAAATCCTGCAAAACATTCAGTAAGGTTAAAGCTAGCAGGACCTAAAACAGCAGAGCACTTCACGCATCCAGTATCCAACTGTATTGAAAAGTATTTCAGAAGTAGTAAGATTTTACATTTTGTACTTACTTGAAACAATAAGCTTAGTTCCACTTCCAAATATTTTGACATCAACGTCTCACAGTCTGATAAAGCTTAGCAATATCTCCTGCACTGTGCTTTTCTTGCACAGGCTACAGAAAAAAGTCTCTCTGATTTAGAGGTTCATGAATTTTCAACATTGACTAGAGTGCCAGTTTTAGAAATACTATGAGTAACAAGTAAAAAGTTCAAGTCTTTAAACCTGGCATTTTCTGAGAAAAAAAGTGGTGCTGTGCTTATTTCATAACTATGTTCTAATTCTTTTAGCTCTGGGATTTCTCTAACAAGGATCTCTTGCCTCTGGTCTGCTAGGTTTTCTCTAAAGTAATGTGGTTTTGCTGTTTTAAGAAGAAATGAGATTACATTATGATTCCCAAAGGAAATTAAGAAAGTTGTTTTGAATATACAGGTAAACAATTTTTTTCCTAAGTGTCCTATCTTGCAAATTACTTATTGTGTGAAAGTATCTTAACTAAAGTTTCATCAAACTTGTATTTTGAAGTCCATATTTTCAATGCAAAGTCCATATTCTAAACAAAATTTACTGACTCCCATAACTAAGTTCATGCCTTTGGCAAGTGGTTACACTGTCGTCTTTTTTGGCAAAAGCAGCTGCCTCTATACAGGCACAATTTAATTGAAAATTGCATCAGAGAACATTTTTGGTCAGAGGCATGGATAGCATTTTCAATTTTTCTGTAACTCTCCTCTGGTTTTTACGATTTGACCTTGATCATTTCATGTATTTTCTGAGCAACATACTTTAGGCATTGCTATATGCTTTATATTGAAAACAACATTCATCTCATTGATCACATAGTTTCACCACAATTAAGAGTAATACAAATGAAAAAGTAAACCAGTTACTTTCAGTAAGGCCAGGAACTAGAAATTTATTACATTCTAGGCAGTTTTCCTCCTCAATCAGCTTATACTGAACCACCTCTACCGATAAGAAATTTTTTGCATTTCTCACTTGCTGTTCTAAGAGTAAACCTTCAAGCAGTTGACTTTTCTTTCCCAGAACAGGGATGAATCCATCCTAATATTTAAATTTTTACCTCTCCGCATTTTTCCATTCCCCCGTCCTTAATAAGTGTTCACTAATTGTTCTAGAGGCAATCTCTCTATTCATGATGTCGATATATTTATTGCCTATCAACCCACCCAACTGGGGCACCACGCACAGTTCACAGACGAAACATGATTTATCCTGCAGTCTTTCATTCTTAATTACCTGAGAACCTGAATGACTCTCTGAAAATCAGATCAACAGTAATGGTACTTACTGGAGACTATTAACTTGGTTCCTGTGCCAAAGTATTTGATCCAGGTGCTCCACAGTGTGTTTTCACTTTGCAATAAAGTAACATGTTCTCTTGCTATGCCATTGCTGAAGAAAATCCCATTTTTTTCCCATTCAGCCCCAGGAGACTGAGCGAGGGCTTGGCCCTTGGCTACTGGGAGGATGTCAGGAATTTCAGACTTGTACCTGGTTGTTCAGCTGATATTGAATTCCCTTTGGAGCAAATAACTTTCCTAATGTGTTGCAAATTTGTTAGATAACCCCTCTGCTTAACACCTAAGAATTAGGTGAAGGTTTCTTTTCAATTTTAGACACACAAAGAGGTGCATGGGGTTGTGCATGTTAAAAAACATCTACCTTCAGGTGATGATCCTGCTCTTTCCCAAAGGGGTATACCTCCTCTCACCTGCAGCTAGGTGACATCTAACATGGAGTTCATTTTCAATTGTCTTAATTCAATTCAGCAGAGGGAAAGGAGGGAGAGCCAGCAACAGAAGCACCACGAAGGCGTCCATGTGCTGCATGTTGCATTTTCTTCCCCTGGAACATGGTTATTGTCTGCCCATCTCCTGGAATCACTCCAGGCTCTACAAAAGCAGCTCACCAGCTGGTAGGAGAAGGAGGCTTTTCCTTTGTGCATAGGTTTCTTATAAAACAGACAAAGATAGTATCAGAGGAGTCACCATGATAGTTGATGAAACATCCTCCATGCTTAATTTGCCATATAAAAGAAACCGAATTTGAGCACTTGTAGGATCTTGTGTGGCATACCAACTGCAAAATAACATTAAGAAATTATGATTTGTGGCTAGAGGGAGGAACTAGGCTGAGGGCGGAGGTCTTTCAGTTGCTATGTGTAACAAAAGCAGTCCTCTACTTGAAAGGTTCCTGGATGGGAACATTGTAATGGCAACCACAAAGCAATGACAAGAATGTCTTGACAGAGAACAGTGCCAACCAGTGCTTTTCCTGCCACGTCCTTAGACAGACAGCAAAGGTGGCCACCACCATCTCACCTGCAGTTGATGGCAATGTTGGATTATGCTCACAACAATGAGTAGATGGGAGGTCTCATTAGACGAAACAGTAAACTACTGCATATTGCAGGCAGCTTGTCCCTGTATGATCTGGGCTTGCAAGAATGAGGAGGACAAAACTGAACTATAGCCATTTGGAGATCTAACACACATTTGAAATTGTTGTGTCACTTCATCACACCAGACTAATATTCTCTAATAAGTTACTTTTAAATGAATTGAAAGGAGAGTGTCAGGGTACCACAGTAAAGGAAAATATTAAGGAGAGGCTTGATGGTAGAGAAAAACATATGTGAATGAATTTCTCAGGCAAAAGGGTCAGTGAAAAGAAGATTGGAAAATGGACAGATACAGCTCAAAAAAACAGAACAAAAATACCCACTGTCAGATACCAGGACAAATAAATAGAGAATCTTGCTCATCCAACTGCTAATATCTTTTAAGCAAAGATTCTACTTCTTTTCCTTTGCCTTAAATTTGACAAACCTTAAGGCTAAAGCTCTCTATTGTTGGTTTTCTTTCTCAGGCCAAACCCTTTGAAGAACTCCATGTGTAGACCTATTTCCAGGAACAACAAGATGGAAATGCGACCCCTTTCCATTG